TATATGGAAATCACATAAATCACTATGTATAAGTTCTAACACATTGCTTTCCCTAACAACATCTTGGAAATGTTGTCTTGTGATTTTAGTTAACATGCGTGTTATACATTTTTCATTTTTATATCAAAAGCAGGAATTAAACTCATTTTTTACATGTCTTTTAATCTCCTGTAATGAATGTGTCCTAGTCTATCATGCCATAAATCGGATTTATTAAAGTTATTGTTGGTACTAGAGGAAGCCATGCAAACAAAACTATCATAGCTAGGATAATTAAGATTTAACCTAATCATTCCATTACATACATATCCGAAACCCATAAAAGAACCATGTCTTGACAAGATATACTTGTCACTTTCTAATACTTGTTTGTAACCACAATTATTTTAAACAATTTCAGACACAAGTTTCTTTTGAATCCCCAGTACATATAAAACATTGTTAAGACACAAACACTTTCCAGAAGTAAAGTAAAGTAAAATAGATCCTAAGCCCTTGATTGGTTCAGTTGCAACATTTCCCATTTTCACTACAGATCCATCTTCAATTGTTTGGCATTCCTTGAACCAACAAAGATCTTTACATATATGGCTGGTTGCTCCTGAATCAACCCACCATGCAACATAATCATCATTCACATAAAATGCTTCATAAATCATAGAAATATAATTTTGAAAATATTTAGAATTCTGCATGGAAATAGAAATCATACCTTATTGCTTTTCTAGATCCTTTGATCCACTTGGTCCAACACCGTCCTTTTTCACTTTGCGAAGACAACAATTTTTCTTAAAGTGACCCGGTTTGCTACAATTCCAACAAACCAACTTAGCCTTCTTGTTAAAAGACTTTTCATCCTTTCCTTTAAACTTCCTTTTTTCCATTAGGCTTCTTGGGATTCTTTGAACTTTCTCCTTCCACCATGTTCACAGAAGAAGAATCAACTTGGTTCTTCCCTTTAGGATTGTTATCAAGTTCTTGAGTCCTTAAGGACTCTATAATCCATAAATGGCTTCCAAGTTGAGTCAAAGTTAATTCCTCTTTGTTACGTTTCAAATTATGTTTAAAATCTTTCTAGGAAGGGGGCAATTTGTTAATGATCACAACCACAGAAATGGATTCATCCATTTTCAGATTGAGTTGGGAAAACTATCCTAGGATCCTTAACATTTCATGGAATTATTCCATAGCAAGCCTGGAGTCAATAATTTTGTAACCCATAAAGTTACTAACAAGAAACTTCTTGCTAGAAACATCTCCAGCCATGTACTTAGATTCAATAGAATCCCACAGTTCTTTTGTAGATTCAAAATTTTGATAGATATCAAACAGAGAGTCAGACATATCATTGAGAATATAACCACAACATATGTAATCATCATTTCCTACTTTGATCTCCTTCTTGCTTCCTCCAAAGGTTCATCTTCAACAGATTCTAGTAAGATTGGCATGGGTGTACTCAGAATATATACCAGCCAAGGGCTTTGCCCCTTGGACCCTACCAGGGGCTGCAATCCCTTGGAGCCTGCTCCTAGGGGCGTTGCCCCCGGACCCCCATTTGCTTAGTGGATTCACCCCTAAATAATAACATACTTTGAATATTGAAAAAATCGAACATGTGTGCACTCCTACAGCATCCTAACTTGTTCAATATTCAACAAGATCACTTTTGGTCAACAAATTTAATCCTATTACACTTAAATAATATTAAAGATATTAAATCACCAACATATGTTAGTTGTTTGTGGCTAAGTATATGCCATAAAATCAAATACCAGATGTTAGTTGAGAATGATTGATTATTATGAAGGTGATTGGTCTTAAATCATAATATGGTCCAAGTATGATTTTACTTGGATAGAAATTCGGTTAATAAGATATGTATAAAGAATAGAGATGGAGGATAGAACCCAACAGTCTTGGTGACTGTAATGATAAGGTTTAAAATGATTTTGTATTTTGGGGTAGTCTTAGTGACTGTAATATCCTCTATACTAAATTATTGTATTTATTGATACTCTTAGTAACTGAAATACCATTGTGTTGAAAATTATTGATCATGGTAGTCTTAATGATTACAATACCATTGATTAACATGTATGATAGTAGCTTAAGAATAACGAAAGCTATATTATATGTTGTATGCATGTTAGGAATTATTGTAAAATATTATTATATAAATGATTATACTTACATGTGAATGTAAGGGGTGATAAAGTAGGTTGTTATGAACTAGTTGTAGCTTGTTGATGAGATTTCGGGGACATAATCTTCTTAAGGGGGAGAGAGCTTGTAATACCCATTTTTAATAGAATGTATTATTGTGTAATTATAGAAAAGAGTTAGTGGAAGAAAGTGATAGATTACCTTCAGATGGTTTCGTGGAAGTAAAGATCGTTGAAAAAGGAGTTCATATGAGGAAGTTATGACAATTTGAAATTAGGATGAAAGGATTTTGTTATTTCGAGGACGTCAACAAAAGTCAAAGTCAAATGGTCAATGGCGTTTGCAACGGCGTTGAAGGTCACGTGTTGAGCGTGGTAGTGAGTAAATCACCGAGACACGTGTCGAGTGTCGAAGGTCACGTGGAAGAGGACAGAATACGTGGCAAGTTGGCAACTGTCTGAACACTACAACATGGGCAACAGACCAACATGGCATAGTCATGCGCAAGTATAAATAGATTTCATTTGTGTCATTTTGAGGGTTTTTGTGCATTCGATCGGGTCTACGAATCGGGAGGTGTTTTCGAGGAATCATTACCGTTGTATCGTACTAGTGTACGAGAGTACGTGAATTGATTTACAGGATCAACATAGTAATATTTTATCCCATTTGACGTAAATACGTTATTTTTATATTATTTTCAGGATTGTAATAGCCGACTATGTATTATGGAATTTCATGATACGGTGCTATTACGAACCACGATGAGTAGTTGAATATTTAATGTTAATGGTAAGTGTTATATATCCTACATTACCGAGAATTTGCGGAGCGGGAAAATGGCTTGGAGTTAATTATTTAGGTGATTGAAATTGAAAACTTGATTAGTTTGGTAACAAATAGTTACGTGGTTTAGCTAATGATCAGGTACTGATCGTTGTGGTTTATATGATACTAAGTTTAGACAAGTATTGACTAACTTGATATATTGTCCAAATAAGTCTGGACAAGTGATGGATTCGGAAGCAGTAAAGAGCTTGAGGTCGAAATTATAGTTAGTCTTCACTAACTTACCAGGTGAGTAACCTCACATCTTTTTTTAGATATATATTGTCCAAATATATGTTATTATTGTATTGCGTTGATTACATGTTAAATAAAATAATGTGATTATTGTGAATTGTTATGTTTAGGATTAGAACATGTAGGGTTATACTTGTGGTATTGTATTGGAGAATTAAAGGTCAATGATGGACTTAGTGTCTAAATGCTATATATGTATACTAATGATGGACTTAGTGTCTAAATTCTATATATGTATACTATTAAGAAATACATGAACTGGTAAGGGGTATTTGAATCTTTTAGAGTAACATGATTATAGGAATGATTATAATTATTACTTTAAGATGGTAGCATTGGTGGTGAAATTCCATTAGGAGAGATATGTAAATTAATGATGGACTCGGTATCTATAACCCTATGGTCGAAAGATTATGGTAGAAGGGGTAATGGTAGTCTTGATAAATGTAATACCATTACTGAATGAATTTAATAGTTATCTAATATGTAATAACATTACGTGAGTGTAAGTATAATATGTCTTCTGAGTAATTGAAATGTGTGATAGCATGGTTAGTGACATTGTACTGGTGTACATATATGCACTAGACTAAAGTAGTTTTGTTGGTTGCAAAGTAATATGATAAGGTTGTATTGTTATTGATGGAAGTATAGCAAGAAAGATATAATATCGTATGTTTATAGGACTGGAATTGATGGTAGTTTAGGTGATTTAAATCCTATTATTCTAGGAATGCAAGTCAATGTTGTATTTTTTTATATAAGGCCCAAGGTGATAAATATATCATATTGATTTGGTTTTGGACATTGTGATGGATATTTTTTGTTAGGGTTTGTTATGTTGATTGTTTGGTATCTCTATTGAGATGCAAATTGTTGTGTCTTCTTTAATACATATTGTGTGGTTGCTTGCATATATGGGTCTTTACAAAGGCATACTCGACTTCTCATTTTTGTTTCTTGTAAGAAAAACTAAAAATTATATTGAATTATTAGTCTGATTAAGATGTTATGGTATCACTCTTGAGATGCAAAATGTTGTGGCTTTTTATATAAATATTGTTTGGTTGCTTGCATGCGGATGTGGGTCTTTACAAAGGAATACTCGACTTCTCATTTTTATTTCTTGTAAGACAAACTATCAATTATATTGCATTGTTAGTTTGATTAAGATGTTAGCATAATAATAAATGTATTGAGCTCTTTTAGTCTTGGGCCTTTATTTTAGCCATTTAGTTAGGTTAAATGTAATAATTTTCTTATTTATAGCCTTATATACCATGGGTGAAGAAAGTTTACTCTGATGGAAGGTAAATAGACGGAGACAATACGAAGGAAATGGAAGAAGTTATCGACGAACGGACATAGACCAACATGGAATCACATTGGTGTTACAATGATGTTCATTTCAAACCTTCCACCAGAGATCAGTGAGAAGTCCATAATAATGACTTTTTCTAAGTTTGGCGAGGTGGTGGACATCTATATCATGATAAAGAAGGATGCTAAGAAGAAGTATCTTGCGTTCGTATGATTTAAAAAGGTCGCAGATGAGTATGGGCTAGAGAAAGCTCTTCAAGGAGTCAAATGTGGTTGTAGAATCTTGGATGTGAACATAACGGGGATTGAAAGGAAACATGTTGGTTCGTCGGAATGTGGAAACATTAGAAACCGATTACACAACCGAATTCATCTGACACTGGGATCTAACGGAAGAGTGAACCGGTCTTAAGAGACAGTTGTAACAGCATATGATCATGATTCAACTTGAATCCTACCTCCTTTTCCACAAATCAAAGTTGTTCCTACTAGACCCTCTGATGACTCCCCACTTCGGGGACGGATTAAAGGTAAGTACACATTAATTGGAGTATTGCACAACTTTGACCGTCTTGAAAAAGCCCCATATTCAATTAAGAACTGTGACCGAACTGAATGTGAAACCAAATATCTTGGTAGGCTAAGAATCGCTATAAAATTCTTGGATTTGACAAGTAGAGAAGATATCATCAAAGGTTGGGTAGAATGTTTTTAGAGAATTGAAAGTGGTGATATAGCAAAATTCAAATTTAATAGAATTGCTTGGATAAAAATCTCAGGCCTTCCACCGGAGTTATGGTCGGAGGAAAATTTCAAAGCCATCATCACGAACTATGGTCAGGTAGTGGTTTCGTTTGCTGTGTATCAGATAGAAGAGAACTTATCTTTTGGAAAAGTTGGCATCCTAACATCATCACTCATGAACATCAACTGTGAATCATTGGTGGAGGTTAACAGTAAAATCATGAAAATCAGGATTGCACAAGTGGATATCGCTTGGGTTCCATTCAAGTCGCACATGCATCAATTGGATGAGTGCTCATCATCAGGCGAAGATGGGAATGATAATGAAGGAGATGACGATGAGGACTGCATATCTGAAACTATGATTGATGAAAACAACTAATCGGAAGAGGTAGAAATTGGAACTATGGACGTTGATATGGCCATGGAATCAAATCAGGAAAACTCAAATAACACAGCCGACAAAGCCTAGTCACCGATGGCAGATTCCTTGCCGACAGACGCTTCAAATGACAAGGATGATCAGAGAATCGAAAGAGACAGACTTGGGGAACGTTAAGGTTTGGATGGAGGAATAAATGTCTAATTGGAAGTTGAAACCCATGGTAGTAAGGAAAACATTAATGCCATAATTCACGCCGACCTGTATAATAACACATACACGGGTGAGTCAGTAAACAAAAGTGTTGGACCGGGTGGATCAACTAATGGGCTGCTTAGTAAATTAGTTGAGTCCGACTGCTTTGGGCATGTTCCAGACACTGTAGATGTTAACAATATGCTATCATGTGGGTCTGATGTTAATTTTGATAGTGCTCAAGATAAAATAAGAAGATTAATGAGAAATGACACTGAAACCCTTATTGATTCTTCGGATTGTACCTCGCCCCATCCCTCTTTGAATCTAAATAGACTTCCGATTCCTACTCAAATTCCCCTCCCTGACAATAAGGTGGACTCTCCATCATCTTAGTTAGAAATTAGAAACACAGTGGAGGTAGGAAACATTTTGGGTTTATAGATTGATGGTGATAACCCAATCCTTAAAGAAGTCCTTGGTGAGGATGGTGACAATGAAATCATACAATGAATATCATGTGTTTAAACATTAGAGATCTTGGAGAGAAACATAGAGTGGACTGCGTACACAAGCTTAGAAGTGTACATAAACTATGTATGATTTGCATTCAAGAATCTAAATTAGGTTAATCATCTTCACCTCTTAATATTACCGAATGTTGGGAAGCTACTGATTGCGGGTTCGAGGAGGTCTTTACCACGAGGAGATCTGGTAGCTTGGTGTCTATATGGGATAAGAAAACACTTTCGCTAGTTGAGACTATCAAATCCAGGTACTTTATTACGACATTGGGTAAGTGTGTAGGCATTAATGGCCTTATAGGCATTGTAAACATTTATGGCCCTCAATCAGTACACGAGAAATCAAAATTATGGAATGAGTTGTTATCTTTGAAATCCTCTATATCCGCTACCTGGATTCTAATGGGAGGTTTTAATGTGGTTCGAAGACCGGAAGAATGAATAAACTCAGTCTTTTTGCCCAACCAATGCAAGTTTTTTAACAAATTCATACACAGGGGTGAACTCAAACACTTGAAGATGGGAGGCCAAAGATTCACCTTCTTTCAAACGCAGGGGGTGAAACTGAGTAAATTAGATAGATGTTTGGTGTGTAGTCACTTCTTAACCATATTTCCCCTTGTGTCCTGCGTAGCATTGGACAAATACCTTTCTGATCACTCACCCATTATATTGAGAGCACGATGCGATGATTTCGGTCCCCCACTGTTCAAACTTTATAACACTTTGTTGTTGAAAGATGGATTAAATGAGGTTATTTGGAAAGCATGTTCTGAGTTTGTGGGGTTCGAAACTCCGGATGCATGTCTCCTGAATAAACTTACACACTTAAATAAAGCTATTAGATGTTGGAGAACTAAGGCATTGAATGGTGAAATCAAGGATATGAATTCCTTGAAAAAAAATGGTTGAGATCGAAAGGGTGGTGGAATCTAGACTTTTAACTTCTACAGAAAGTGAAGAAAGGTTAATTGGAGGAGTTAAAATTGTGGAACATGCTAGATCTAATGCTTTAGACCTGAAGGAAAGAGTGTAAATCAATTAGGAGATAGAAGGAGATGAAAACGCACGTTCTTTATATACTCTTAAGAAATACATGAACTAGTAAGGGGTATTTGAATCTTTTAGAGTAACATGATCATAGGAATGATTATATTTATTGCTTTAAGATAGTAGCCTTAGTGGTGAAATTCCAATAGGAGAGATATGTAAATTAATGATGGAATCGGTATCTATAACCCTATGTTCGAAAGATTGTGGTAGAAGGGGTAATGGTAGTCCTGATAAACGTAATACCATTACTAGATGAATTTAATAGTTATGAAATATGTAATAACATTACGTTAGTGTAAGTCTACTATGTCTTCTGAGCAATTGAAATGTGTGATAGCATGGTTAGTGACATTGTACCGGTATACATATTTGCACTAGACTAAAGTAGTTTTGTTGTTTGCAAAGTAATATGATAAGGTTGTATTGTTATTGATGGAATTATAGCAATAAAGATATAATATCGTATGTTTATAGGACTGGAATTTATTGTAGTTTAGGTGATTGAAATCCTATTATTCTAGGAATGCAAGTCAATGGTGGATTCTTTTATATAAGGCCAAAGGTGATAAATATATCATTTTGATTTTGTTTTGGACATTGTAATGGAGATTGGTTGTTATGGTTTGTTATGTTGATTGTTTGGTATCACTTTTGAGATGCAAATTGTTGTGTCTTCTTTAATACATATTGCTTAGTTGCTTACATATAGGGGTCTTTACAAAGGCATACTCGACTTCTTATTTTTGCTTCTTGTAAGAAAAACTACAAATTATATTGAATTGTTAGTTTGATTAAGATGTTATGGTATCACTCTTGAGATGCAAAATGTTGTGGCTTCTTAAATAAATATTATTTGGTTGCTTGTGGATGTGGGTCTTTACAAAGGAGTACTCGAATTCTCATTTTTATTTCTTGTAAGACAAAATATCAATTATATTGCATTGTTAGTTTGATTAAGATGTTAGCATAATAATAAATGTATTGAGGTCTTTTAATATTAGGCCTTTAGTTTAGCCATTTAGTTAGGTTAAATGTAATAATTTTCTTATTTATAGTCTTTTATACCATGGGTGAAGAAAGTTTACTCTGATGGAAAGTGAATAGATGGAGGCAAGACGAAGGAAATGGAAGAAGTTATCGATGAACGGACATAGACCAACATGGAATCACATTGGTGTTACAACGATGTTCGTTTCAAACCTTCCACCAGAGATCAGTCCATAATAATGACTTCTGCTAAGTTTGGCGAGGTGGTGGACATCTATATCATGACAAAGAAGGGTGCTAAGAAGAAGTGTCTTGCGTTCGTAAGATTTAAAAAGGTCGTAGATGAGTATGGGCTAGAGAAAGCTTTTCAAGGAGTCAAATGCGGTTGTAGAATCTTGGATGTGAACATAGCGAGGATTGAAAGGAAACCTGTTGGTCCGTCGGAATGTGGAAACATTAGAAACCGATTACACAACCGAATTCCTTCAACACTAGGATCTAAAGGAAGAGTGAGCCGGTCTTACGTGACAGTTGTAACAACATGTGATCGTGATTCAACTCGAATCCTACCTCCTCCTCCACAAATGAAAGTTGTTCCCACTAGAATCTCTGATGACTCACCACTTCAGGGATGGATTAAAGGTAAGTACACATTAATTAGAGTATTGCACAATTTTGACCATCTTGAGAAAGCCCCATATTCAATTAAAAACTGTGACCGAACTGAATGTAAAATAAAATATCTTGGTAGGCTAAGAATCGCTATAAAATTCATGGATTTGACAAGTAGAGAAAATTTCATTTCATTAAAGCTTGGGTACAATGGTTTAAGAGAATTGAAAGTGGTGATATAGCGGAATTCCAATTTGATAGAATTGCTTGGAAAAAAATCTCAGGCCTTCTACCGGAGTTATGGTCGGAGGAAAATTTCACAGCCATCGTCATGACCTATGTTCAGGTGGTGGTTTCGTTTGTTATGGATCAAACAGAGGCGAACTTATCCTTTGGAAAAGTTGGCATCCTAACATCATCACTGACGAACATCTACTATGAATCATTGGTGGAGTTTAATAGTAAAATCATGAAAATCGGAATTGTAGAAGTGGATATTGACTGCGTTCCATTGAAGTCGCACATGCGTCAATTAGACATGTGCTCATCATCAGACGATGATGGGAATGATAATGAAGGAGATGATGATGAGGACCGTATATCTAAAACTATGATTGATAAAAACCACAACTAGTTGGAAGAGGGAGAGATTGGAACTATGGATGTTGATATGGTCATGGAATCAAATCGGGAAAACTCAGATAACACAGCCGATATTGCCTGGTCACCGATGGCAGATTCGTTGTCGACAAACGCTTTAAATGACAAGGATGGTCGGAGAATCGAAAGAAATAGACTTGGGGAACGTTAAGGGTTGGATGGAGGAATTAATGTCTAATTGAAAGTTAAAGCCCTTGGTAGTAAGGAAAAAAACTAATGCAACAATTCACGTCGAATTGGATAATAACACATACACGGCTGAGTCAGTAAACAAAAGTGTTGGACCGGGTGGATTAACTAATCGGCTGCTTAATAAATTAGCTGAGTTCGGATGCTTTGGGCCTTTTCCAAACACTATAGATGTTAACGATATGCTCTCATCAGGGCTTGATGTTAATTTTGATAGTGCTCAAGATAAAATAAGAAGATTAATGAGAAATGGCATTGACACCCTTATTGATTCTTCGGACTATACCTCGCCCCATCCCTCTTTGGATCTAAATAGACTTCCGATTCCTACTCAAATTCGTCTCCATGACAGTGAGGTGGACTCTCCATCCTCTTAGGCGGAAATTAGAAACACAGTGGAGGTAGGAAACATTTTGGGTTTATGATGTTGATAACCCAATCCTTAAAGAAGTCCTTGGTGAGGATGGTGAGATTCAAATCATACAATGAATATCATGTATTTAAAAATTAGAGATCTTGGAGAGAAACATAAGGTGGACTGGGTTCACAAGCTTAGAAGTGTACATAAATTATGTATGATTTGCATTCAAGAATCTAAATTAGGTGAATCATCTTCACCTCTTAATATTACCGAATGTTGGGGAGATGCTGATTGTGGGTTCGAGGAGGTCTTTACCACAGGGAGATCTGGTGGCTTGGTGTCTATATGGGATAAGAAAACATTTTTGCTAGTTGAGACTATCAATTCCAGGTACTTTAGTACAACATTGGGTAATTGTGGAGGCATTAATCGCCTCACAGGAATTGTAAACATTTATGCCCTCAATCAGTACACAAGAAATCGAAATTATGGAATGAGCTGTTATCTTTGAAATCCTCTATATCCGCTACCTTGATTGTTATGTGAGATTTTAATGTGGTTTGAAGACCGGAAGAACGGATAAACTCAGTGTTTTTGCCCAACCAGTGCAAGTGTTTTTAATAAATTCGTACATAGGGGTGAACTTAAACACTTGAAGATGGGAGCCAAAAGATTCACCTTCTTTCAAATGCTGAGGGAAAAACTGAGTCAATTAGATAAATTTTTGGTTTGTAGTCACTTCTTAACCATATTTCCCCTTACGTCCTGCGTAGCATTGGACAGAGACCTTTCTAATCACTCACCCATTATATTGAGAGCACGATGTGATGATTTCGATCCCCTACTGTTCAAACTTTATAAGTCTTTGTTGTTGAAAGATGGATTAGATGACGTTATTTGTAAAGCATGTTCTGAGTTTGTGGGGTTCGGAACTTCGGATGAATATCTCCTGAATAAACTTAAACACTTAAAAAAAGCTATTAGATGTTGGAGAACTAACGCATTAAATGGTGAAATCAAGGATATGGATTCCTTTAAAAAAAGAATGGTTGAGATTGAAAGGGTGGCGGAATCTAGACTTTTAACTTCTGTAGAAAGTGAAGAAACGTTAATTGGAGGAGTTAAAATTGTGGAACATGCCAGATCTAATGCTTTAGACCTGAAGGAAATAGTGTAAATCAAATGGGAGATAGAATGAGATGAAAACGCACGTTTTTATGGATATGTGAACAATATAAATTGGAAAAATCACATCCATGGGATTATGGAAAATGGAGTTTGGACTACTGATCCATCTGAGATAAAGCAGGAGGGTGCTAAATTCTTCAAAAAGAAATATAGAGAAAATTGGTGGTACATACCTTTGTTTCGGAACACTGGTTTTCGTAGGCTTTCTGAAACAGATAATCGGTTCTTAGAAGGAGAGTATTCCATTGATGAAGTAAAAACTGCAATGTGGTTGTGTGGTGGTGACAAGTCTCGGTTTCCTGATGGTTTCACTTTCGAATTTCTCAAAAATATTAGGACTTGCTAAAGGGCGATATCATAGGGTTGATTAAATACTCTAAAACGGGAGGTAAAATCATCAAAGGATGTAATTCTTCGTTTATATCCCTAGCCGCGAAGACTAAAGATCCAATTCACTATGGAGATTTTAGACCTATAAGCCTGATTGGTTATATATACAAGATCATTGCAAATTGATGGCACTTCAACTAAAGAAGTTCATTGGTTGTGTTATAGATGAGGTATAATCTGTGTACGTTGAAGGAAGAAATATCCTTGAGGGTCATATGGTGGTTAATGAGCTTTATTCTTGGACAAAATCAAAAGGAAGGAAGATGCTTCTTTTTAAGGCAGACTTTAACAATGCTTTTGACTCTATGAATTGGGTATATCTAGACTCAATCAAGGTTCAAATAGGGTTTAGAAATACTTAGAGATTTAGATTTGTAATTGTTTAGAATCGGGTCTAGCATCGATGATTATTAACGAAAGCCCAACCATTGAGTTCTCTATTACGAAAGGAGTGAGACAAGGCGACCCACTTTCTCCCTTCATATCATCATTGCGATGGAAGGGTTGAATATGGCGATGAAGACTGCGGTTGATAAAGGAGTTTTTGAAGGAATAAAATTCCCAAATTCGAACATTTGTTTGTCTCGTTTATTTTATGAAGATGACGCTTTATTTATGTTTTGTCCGGGTTGAAAGTTAATTTTAGCGAGTCTAAAGTGTTTGGTGTGGGTGCATGTCCTAGCGAAGTATCGAACTGGTCTACTCCTCTTGGTTGCAAACCATCATCTCTCCCATTCACTTACCTAGGAATCCCAGTGGGTGAAAAACATGAACTTGAAGAATGCTTGGAGACCGATTATCAAAGTTTCATTCCAAACTCTTGTTGTGGAAAGAAAAAAACACTTAGCTTCGGAGGTAGATTAACCTTAGCAAAAGCGGTACTTAGCAATCTCTCAACCTTTTTTTATGTCCATCTTTGTTGTCCACATGGTATCATTGAGACCATTGAGAAATCTAGAAGGAGATTCATATGGAGCAGCAAATTGGAAAAGAAAAGTATCAGCTGGGTTGCATGGGAAACACTTATTGCCCCAAAAAGGATGGGTGGCATAAGGATTGGATCTATTAAGAGTCTGAACATTTCCCTGTTAGCTAAATGGATGTCGCGGTTGAAAAATGAACACTGAGCACTTTAGGCGAAAGTCATTTGATGCATTTACGGCTTAGACAGAAGACATTGGTCTATTTTTGCCAACAGATCTAGAACAGGTGTTTGGAAAAATATAGTCAAAATAAGACCTATGTTAAAGAATCTCAACATTGATCCTAAAGAAATTGTGTATTGGAAACCAATTAAAGGTTGCTGGGTCTCTGACTTTGTGATTGACAACCATTTCTCTGTGAGATTGTTACAATAACAGATTGAAATGGCGAGTCACATTGTCTGTGATGGTCCGTTTGAGTGGTGTAAGGTGATACCGAAAAAGATCTTATGTTTTATTTGTAACTTGGAGGAAGAGATGAGCGATCACATCCTTCTCTTATGTCCATTAGCGAAAGCGGTTGTGAACGCGATTTTATCTTGGCGTGAAATTTCATATGATGGATTTAATTCGGTCAAAGATATGTTACTCTTCATATCTCGGTGGTCTAAGTGCAATATATATATATATATATATATATATATATATATATATATATATATATTGTTATAAATTTGATGTAATTAAAAGAAGATTAGTAAAACTAAACTAAGAACCTTTAAGAAAGAAGAAAGAAGAAAGGAGATTTGGAGAGAATTTGATAACTTATATAAAGTATTCAAATTGGTGTATCTTTTACATATGTGATAGTGCTATTTATACTAGTTAATCACTAGACATAATTAATGAGTTCTTACACATATTTGACATATTTATCATAAGAGTTGAAAATAACTCTTACACATTTGACATTAGGAAATGTTGTCATTCAATTATTTACAACACTCACCCTTGGATGACATCATTTCAAATTAGAGTTCAACCTTGAAGTACTGCCTCATTAAAAACCTTGCTAAAGAAAACCCAGTGGGAAAAAACTTTAGCGAAGGGAAAAAGAGTGCAGTGTATAGTTTACTCCCCCTTATTTAGACATCTGTCACATTATATTCTATGCACATGTCGCATTCCGATGCCATGAACATGTTTCCTGAATATTGCAGTAGGAAGTGCCTTCGTAAAAAGGTCTGCTGCATTGTTACTGGATTGAACATATTTGATTTCAACTTGATGGTTCTTTATAAGCTCTTGAGTGTACTCAAAAAACTTTGGAGGTATATGTTTTGTCCTGTCGCTCTTGATATATCCTTCTTTCATTTGAGCGACACATGCTGAGTTATCTTCATATATTAAAGTTGGACATATATCCTTTTCAAGTCCACATGAAGTTAAAACTAGTTGTGTCATTGATCTTAACCATGTACATTCTCTACTAGCTTCATTTAGTGCAATTACTTCAGCATGATTTGAGGATGTGGCAACAAGTGTTTGCTTTTGAGAACGCCAGGAAATTGCAGTACCTCCATTCATGAATACGTATCCAGTTTGAGATCTAGCTTTATGAGGATCGGACAAATAACCTGCATCTGCATAACCAATCAAACCTTGTTTTGAATCGTTAGGGTAAAATAACCCTAAATCACTAGTTCCTCGAAGGTATCGAAAAATATGTTTGATTCCATTCCAATGTCTTTTTGTTGGGGCTGAACTAAATCTTGCTAGCAAGTTTACTGCGAAAGAAATGTCAGGTCTAGTACAATTGGTAAGATACATAAGAGCTCCAATTGCATTTAGATATGGCACTTCTGAACCAAGGACTTCTTCATTTTCTTCGCATGGACGAAATGGATCCTTGTCAATATTTAATGATCTAACAACCATTGGAGTGCTTAAAGGATTTGCATTGTCCATATTGAAACGTTTCAAGACTCTTTCTGTGTAATTTGATTGATGCACAAGTATTCCGTTAGGCATATGCTCAATCTGTAAACCAAGACAATATTTGGTTTTTCCAAGATCTTTCATTTCAAATTCTTTCTTTAA